GTGACACGCGAAGCCCATATTGAGCTACTCGAGGGGGAAGCTGCAACGGAAGAGCGGACGACATCAGCAACGCGGGAGGCGGCAATCGCACCTGCACCACATCCCGCAGGGGGAGGCAGCAGCCTTGCCGAGTACTTGGTGTGGGAGGGGGTCTTCGCCACACCCGCAGACGCAGGGGCATATTGCCTCGCTTTTGCAGAAGGCCTGTGGCCCCAACAAGGCCGAAGCATCCAGGCAATGGCTGTTAGCTCCCAGCGCGACGCAACTGATACCACACAACAGGACTCGCCCTGGATAGCTAGCTGGATTAACAGCTGCAGCTGCAACAACTGCAACAACTGCAGCAGCAGCTGCTGCAGCCGCGACGACAGCTGCAGCAGTGAGCGGCTTATTCCTGTCGGAGCAGTCGAAACTGCCGCCCTTTCTTGCGGAGTCTCCAGTTCAAACAAACGGCGCGGCCTTAAGAAAGCCTTTCTCGTGACTCCCGAGGCAGCTGCAGCAAGCAGTACCAGCAGCTGCAAACAGCAGCAAGCTGAAGCATGTAGTGGCAATGCAGGTACCAGGAGGCACCTAACTTAGTGCGCAGCACATTACTCATCCGTGTGCGTCTCTTTATTTGTTTTCTCTCCTTTCTTGTCTGAGCCACACCCAGTGCTGCGGCGCCCCAAGCTGTTCACTGAGTTTGCTTCTCTGCTTTCTCAGCCCTACAAATGCTGCAAGGCCGCGTCTACGTACTCCAGCTGGTCCTGCCGCGTGCTGCCGCTGCTGTCAAGGCAGCAGCAGCACCTTTCTGTTCGGGGTGCAGAGCCACCAGACAGCGCTGTCGCTGCGGTGCAGATAGCCTGGCGTGGGAATTCAAGTGTACATACACCCTGAAGATAAGCGACCTTGAAGTCGTTGTGTTGCCGCTCCGTGGGGCCCTCTGGGGCGTTGAAAGGAATACAAACGGGTGAGGCCGCGTTCCACCAGAACTGCATTATAAGTATTTGTTGCATAGCTTGCTCTCAGAAGCGGCATAAGACGAGCTTTTGGGTCCCCCGTGCTTCTGTGTTTGCTGTTTGACGCTTCTCCCGCAGGCCCCTCAACGGCTGCAGCCTTGCTTTTCCGCTGCGCCTGCGGTCGAGAGCTGCATTCGCTTTAGTGCGTACGTACAGCTGCTGCGAGAGAGCCAAAGCTTCGCTGCAGCAGCTGCAGCAGCAGCAGTGGCTTCCAAAAGGGGAGGCGCAGCTGATGCCCCCTGAGGGGGGCCAGCCCGCTCTGAAAAGCAAACAATCTGCAGATGCAGCCTTTCTGCTGACAATATGTTTATACACGGACGCTGCAGCTGAGGCGGCCCTGGCGCGTATCTGTCCTGCAGCAGCAGCAGCAGCAGATGCCGCAGCAATTGAGGCAGTCGATGGAGCAGCCGCAGATGCTGACAAGGAAGAGATGAGCACGAAGTTACACGTGGAGATAGACGACAGCTCCTCTTCAGACGACGACTGCTCCAGCGTGATTCTCGAGAGCAGAACCGAAGAAGGCAGTTAGAGTAGCAGCACGACTTTTAGCAGCAGCTAATGAAGAGCACAAAGAGCTACATGTTTCTGGCGCAGGTCTATCGGCAAAGAAATCTCGAGCGCAGGGAGCTCAAGGAGAGCTGAGCACCGCTGGTCTATAGAGACAGTATGCGGTGCTGCCAACGGTGATGTACTTGAAATGCTTTTTCATACATTCCTTTATATATAAGCAGTTTTCGTCAACATCTCAGGGGTCACGGCATTCAACTGCTAGCCCAAAAGTTGCTGTTCGGCTCCCCTGATGCGAAGATTTTTACGATGGATTCTAACCCTCATACAAAATACCGTTTAAGCCCAAGTCTAAAGTGCCTACCTGTCTATATATATATATATATATATATATATATATATATATATATATA